GTGTGTGTGAGTGTGTGAGTGTGTGTGTGTGTGTGTGTGTGTGTGTGTGTGTACTTGGATGGGTTAAATGCAGAGCACAAATTACGAGTATGGGTCACCATACTTGGCCACACGTTACTTCACTTTCAAAACTCCCCATTTTCTTATAGATTACTGTCCACTCTTGACCTCAATGCAGAAATTTGGTCCTGTGTTTCTTTTTGCTGGTCCTACTGGTCCTATCTCAAATCTGTCTGGCAAAATGGACAATTTTTTATTTTTCCTCTCAACAACTGTTGTTTTAATTCAAGAACAAAGCTCTCGAGACTCCTTTAATCACTACATAAATCAATTTATTTTAATCTACTGACAATACTATATATATATATATATATATATATATATATCTCAAATATTGTCTTCGACAATGCATGAGTCAAAAAGGTTGAAAACCACTACCTTAAGACTTTTAGAAACTCAAATGTTCTACTTTTCTCCCATTTTTTTTGTTACAATTTCACATGAATATTGTATGAGCTGTACTAATAGTATAGCATTTATTTAACCAAAGAAATGCTTATCTGGTTTTCTGTGGCTTGTGCATGTTTTGCAGTGATTTTCTGCTTCATGAATTCAATTAATGTAAGTATTTCTTCCCTTCTGTCTGTAAGACTCATTAAAGTAGCACACAACCCGTTCTGCAGATGTGTTCAATAGACTCTTTAGTCAGGGCACACCAGTCTAATACTTGTGCTTAAAAATCAAAGAGCTGTTTAATGCTTTATTTTAAAGAGATATATTATATCATCATTATTATTAATAATAATATCATTATTCCTACAAATACATGAATCCCGGCACTTTGAAAAATGTTTTCTTTCATTTTGTCTTTGTTAAAACAAGAAAGCTAAAAAATATCCTATGGTGAAAAAATAAAGCAAACAACAAACAATTTAAACATTGAGAAAAAGAGAAAAATCACAAAAAGACAAATAAAACTATAACAAAATTGAAAAAAAGAAATTCTACATCCTTTACAAACACTATGGCCCAATAATTTAAGAAAATAGTGTCTCTAAAACGTTCATATTGCTTTGTACCTTCATCAGTGCCCTTTAGGGAGTTCAGCAATACAGTGCTGTGAAGTCTTCACAACGGCCAAAAGTGGACGCCCTCCTCCGGGCTCTGTGCTCACCTCCACGAGGAGGTCATGAGGTTGCCAGCGAATCGGCTGGCATCTTTGAGGAGAGAGAGTCCCGTTATTAGCTTGTTTAATCCTCAGCACAATGTCCTTTTGTGTTCTTTTGGCAGTAGAGAAAAAAATACAAGGTATAGTTACTATTCCTCATGATCATGGAGTATTCACCATTGTTGCATTTAGCATTATTACTCTCTAAGATATTATTACTATTACTATCACCATCACGGATACACAGAGTGCATCGTGTGTCATGTGCGCGTGTGTGTGTGAACGTGTAAGTCAAGTGTTCAGTGCTCAGAGCTTGTATTCTCAAAAGAGAAGCTAGGCAGAGTCAATAGCTTGGAGTTCGGGACGCCTTCTTGGGGCAGCCCATCTCCTCCTCCACCCAAATCAAATGAGTCCTTGGAGTCACTGGAGGGAGCGCGCCTCCTCAGGCAAGTGTCCCGACTTGGCAATGGGGGTGGCACCATCCCCAGAGCAGGGTGAAGGCCTCCCGGAAGCTCCGAACCTTCGGGCGGATCCACAGAGATGCACGGCGGACTCATCTTCTTCTTGCGGCCTCGTGGAGAGGACTGCTGCTGGAGGCTGTCGCCTCGCGACACGAAGCCGGAGGAGATCGAACTGCGCTGGGGACTGCTTTCCATGGATGAGCACACCTCAATGGAGTGCCGACGTGGGTCGTCAAGCCAGGACAAGGGCCGTGGTAACAGCAGAGCTCGCTGGCCCTGAGTGTCCACGCTGTGGTACTTCTTAAGCTGACGTCTTGCACCTTGATCTCCTGTCCCTTCCCCGATCCCATCGTCGCTCCTCCCTGCAAGCCCCGCCCGGATAATTCGGGATACCTCCTGATCCACAGAGTCCATTTCCTCCTGCTTTCTGGCAGCCAGTGATGGGAGGGGTGGAGAGCAGGAACGCTTGGAGAACACATTGTACTGGTCGTAGGGGTTGTGCTGTGTGTGGACGCTAGGTCGCGATGGTTTCGGGGAGGCGCCTGGTGTGGCAGGGACCAGAAAGAGGGAAGGCTGGTGCTGCTGCTGCTGAGGTGGAAGGTTGACATGGGGGTCCGACAGTTCCCTAAGCCCCAAGGGACCCTCGTTTTCCCCTCCCTCTGTGTATAGAGTCTCCTGAGAGTCAGCACTCACTGCCACCTGAAGAGAGCAGGGACGGGAGGAGGTGAGGGGAAGGTAAGGGGTAACATTATGGATTAGAACATGAACAGGTGAAAGGGAGACTGGTTAGTATGAGATGTTAGGGATGTAGAAGCTAGTGGAAGGGGAGGGGAGCCGTGGAGTTAGAGTGAAGTTCACCATTAGCATTGCACTCCACAAGCTCTCTGCTTCAAAGGATCGGAGGTGAAATTAGAAAAATGGAGAGACCGCCTCAGGGCATCTGTTTTGAATGCATTCGTAGCCCCAATTAGAGGTAGCCAACATTTAGAATCTGATGTTGGTGTTCTTCATTTTTAAAAGTTTGTATCAAACTTGAAAGTATCAAATGAAGTAACTCGCCACAAAACATACCAAAAGTCCCGGACACACGATAAACCTTTAACTGACAAAAATAGTGCTTAAATTGTGCTACAAAGTTCAATAAAACTTGCTTAATAGCAGTTACACCTTCTGAAGTAACATTCTTAATTCAACAACCAGTTAACCACTAGTTGAAAACATTCTTAGGCCTTTCAGTCTCATGGGCGGTCCTAGGGATGGGCTTCCAGGGCTTATGCCCCCATTTTTTTATTGCTTTGAGTTTTAATGTCAGCTTTCTGGTCATCTGCTCTATAAATCAGACATAATGAAGAAACTAGAGGATCTATTGACTTTTTGGTGAGACTCTTTGTTGCAGCCTAGAATTAAACTGCTGGTTTTGTCTGGCCAGAGGAGAACGGTGCACTATTTCGACACACCATTTCCTTGTTTAATACTGTAAAGCTGCATTGACACAATCTGCATTTTAAAAAGCGCTATATAAATAATGGTGACTTGACTTGACCTCCATCCAGATGCAATAAGCACCAAGTATTTTACAAACAGAATGGGATATTTTTGTTAGGGTGACCATATTTTAGTTTTCAAATAAGAGGACAGTGGGTGCAGGACGAAGACGGTCACCAGTCACCATTTTGCAGATTGATCATAAACACAGCTAAGGCTTCCTACTGGTGGCCATCCTTCTCAAAACTTAACATCTACCACAGTTTTATCATAGGTAGAATGCAAAATGTTTCAATACAAGCATTTCAGTCAAATGTAATTTATGCAATATTTCAAACCTTCAACCCACGGGAGAAAATCCACCTGCCGCAACAGTTTAAAATCAGCCCAATTCCGTGCAAAAAAACTTTTGTACTCAAGCCTGACTGCTTGCGGCTCTTGGAAAACTCTTTTATAAAAGAACATGAGCAACGCCACCAACTTTACAAACTTTGGTAAAGCAACATTTTTTCTCTCATGTAAAGAGTACACTAACTTTTGAACAAAAACACTTGCAATGACAAGTGAAAGTCATGACACTACTGGCAACCTGTACACAACTACAGAAAGCTTGAAGGCAGCATGATTTTGGCATGCATAGAGATAAGACCTGTTTATTTTTTTCAGCAATATATAAATATTTACTTCATAAAAATGATTCCTTACTTTAAAGTTTATAATATTCTAATAAATGATTATTCATATGTATCCTCAGAGGTTTGGGCAAAGCACATATCTCTCCTGACCCTAGAACCGCCCCTGGACCTTCTTATCGCCTTCACTGATAGGAAATGTACACTGTGTGCACTTTCAACAAAATCGGAAAGTGTACAGGCTACTGGAGAAATGAGCAAATAAATGTCTTCCTTTTGCTCTATATCTTTGTCTCCTCTTTGACATTGACACAATGCCTGAGTAACAGTACTGTACATGCTACTGCTGTGGGTAAAGTCACGTAGGTGAAAACTTACAATATCAATTGCACTTTCAGAGAAAAGTTTGTAATAGATGTACTGTTTTAACTAGTAAAGAGAAACATTTACCCTAGGGCAAAACTACAGGCACTGTTTAGCAGACTGCACTCTGAGCCACTGGGCTACTGCAACAGACCACAAGACCCACGTCTCTTCCTGGGGTCTCCTTCTCTCAGAATTCTACCTAAAACTGTCGCTTTCTTTGAATCAAGGGAGTCGGAGAGAGGCACCGGCCCAGTAGGAGAGATGTGGGTGGGTGTTTTGGGAGGGGCTAAAGATCACGAGGAGCCATGTCATATTTGGAAAGTTAGCTGACATTGAATAAGAGGCTGAGCCATATTGGCTGAGCCATTGAAACTTGTATGATTGAAGCTATGCTGCCCCCTAGTGGCAGGAAGTTGATTTTACATTTGCGTGACAAATGATTGACTAAATGGCATGCATGAGAAACCAATATATATATATAATTTAATGAACATGTATCGTTGTTGTTAATATATAAAAAACAAACAGCTAAACTAATACTGTTTGAATACATATTTTTTGGAAGATTATCATATATAAATAACTACCATCTGCGTTTACATATGCTTTAAAAGGAATTCAATATAATTATTGCAGATATTAAGAATATCTTTTTTATAAATGCAACTCAGTTGAGTGTATAAGATGTCAGTCCACTAATTTCATTCCTCTTGATCTTTACCCTGCACTTTTGGCCTTTTCAGTAGCCATGCTGAAATGCGTTGGGCTGGAGGAACGGGATTTAAGGGGTGTGGTAGGAGAAGAGGGACAGAATTGGGGACGGAGTTCAATGATCTGTGGCGCTGGAGGCCAGCTGAACCAAGCAGCCCATTCCAGCTCTCTCAGAAACAGGAGTATCTGTGCCTCAGAAGCAGCTCGGGGTCAGGCTTGGGTTGTATCATGCTGAGCTGCTCGGAGTGAATCACATTAGAGGGTACGCAGGCCAAAAAGCAGCAGAAAAAAAGGAGAGAATGAAGGAAGGATTTAGAGAAAAAATATACTAGCCAGAGGGAGAGATCAACAGTGCAGAGGTGTCAGACTTCATACCACTCACATTCCCATAAGTCTCCAATCACAATTCATAGACAAGGAATAATATGCATTATGAAAGAAGACAAGCAGAGAAAAACTGCTCTGTTACAAAACCTAGTCAGCTGCCTACAGAGGCAATAGAGTCATATGCTGCTCCTGATACCAAGGTTATTCCAACTTGCTTTTCCAACATGCTTAAAATACTCACTTCAGCCAGATTCTAAAGTTGCATTCCAAATGCAAATGTACTATACACGGTGTACTTCTGCTACACATCACATAGTCTCAACACAGTGTGTATGAAATTTAGAAGGCCTGTGCCATTTTTAATTAAATACTAATCTTCTTTTTTTTTTTTTTTTACTTCACAGAACCATTTACTGGTCATTCAGTAGAAGGAGGGACATTTCAAAATGCATATCATATGCTGCAGCTATAGCTTCAGCACGTTAATCCATTTGCTTACCAATGATTGCACAAAGTGTCTACTTGTGCTCTATGCCTTGCCAATGCAAGAAATTTCACATGTATTGCGTAAAGGGCAAAGAAACTAATGCCTTTATTCATGCAATAAATTCAGTAAAAGTGACAGTAAAGACAATATGTTACAAAAGATTTCTATTTCAAATAAATGCTGTCTTTTGAGCTTTCTATTCATCAAAGAATCCTGAAAAATGTATCATTTTAACAAAAATAATAAGCAAAACGTTTCTTGAGCACCAAATCAGCATATAATGATTTCTGAAGTATCATGTGCAACTGAAGATTTGAATAATGGCTGCTGAAAATTCTGATTTGCCATCACAGGAATGAATTACATTTTAAAGTATATTCAAATTGAAAACTGTTATTAGGGGTGGGCGATATGACCAAAATCTTATAAAACAAAACAGTTAAATATGTATGCTGCTGCTATACAATAATATGCTTAAATAATGTGAGCCTGGGCTGGCTTTGCCGAATGGCTTAACGCTAGTGAACTATTGCTGTGTGTACTGCACTGCATGTCATTAACAGACAGGAATCACACTGTAGGCTGATAGATGAAGTAAACCCCCAGCAACCACCTGGCTCAGGCTCGGGCGGCCTGAGCAAATAGTTTTAAATTTGTCATTCAAGAGTTGTAATTTTTTTTTCCCCCATTAACGTTCATCAACGTTACTGCAATGTAAATACTTACCTTTAACTTATTAATAAGCTAACAAAATATTTGGCGAAAGAATAAATCACTGTACACCCTGTAGTTGTGGTGTCATATGCCCAGGATTAATTTTGCCTCAAAAGCAGCTGCTCATTTATTTTGATCATTTAAAATATTTATATTGCATATTAATTAATTCTGCCTCAAAAGCAGCTGCTCATTTATTTTGATAATTTAAAATATTTATATTGCATATTAGAACAATAATGTTTGCATTGTATGAACACATCATTGCTAAATGCATGGCTCGTTCCAAGATGGTCTTGAGCAGGACACTACAGTGACTTTATTTAAATGCAGTTGTGTCCGAATTAAAATTCGCAACATAGAAATGCTGTGCATGCTACTGCTGAGAAAAATCTCGATGACTGAATGCCTAAGCAAGCTGCTGCTACTGCACAAGAGACTGAACTGCTGAGAGATCCATAAATTAGGCATAAGTAGCTAGGCGAATGCCTATTTTAGTCTAACACTGTGTCTACGCCAGACGTGAGCGGCACAACATGATAGAGTCAATAGACCCGTTACGAAAGGTAAAGCTATGCAATGTATGCAGTGCAATACGGCCAACGCAACAAAACTTCTGCTACTGCTGCTATGATAATATTCAGTAGATGCTGTTGCTGTTAATGATATTCACAATGTTGTAATAGGAATTTACTGTGCGAGCTGTTGCGGTTGTAATATTTAATCAGAATTTACGAAGCATAATCTACTGCTGTAAAATTTGCTAACATTGCGATCTGAATAGCTATGCATACTGGCTACTGCAAAAAAGTACTTAGAATTGCTACTGCCCCTTTATAAATAACCAAAAACAACCAATTAATGCTTATTTCGCTTTGAAGAGCTCAATAAACTCTGTTGAATTGAATAGCAAAGTAATAAAATGCCAATTTCACCTAAAAAGTTCACTACCATCCAAGCGTTATCTTATCACTGAA